TCATATATACGAGCAGCGAACACCAGTTTCAACACAACGCTCAGATCACATTACGTCATCAACATCACTGACTGTATAGCTGTAAATTACTAGCGACTTAGGTATGAAAATAATGTAAACTTTAATACAAAGTAGCGTATAATTTCTCCACCACACGGACACCGCAATCCACTGTATTTTATTAGGCCAGAGATGTTTAGCTAGGACTTAGACTCATATAGATGTACTGACTGTTTTGTTATATTTCATTGAAGTCTTTATTAAATGAAATATTTGAAACGAGAAATGGAACTTGGTTATGATTTACAAGGATGTGAAGTAAATTATCAAGGGTTTTTAAATACAAGCGGCGGGCTGAGGATGTCCCCACCCCCCTTTTTATATGTGGACGGATGTCATGAGTAGTCCTGATAAAATTTGACTAACTGAATTTTCACGGGATGGAAACACTGTAAGCTGACTGGCATTTGGCAGGGTGCTGAGAAAGCTTAAACACCTTACAATGGCCGATGTTACGGGTCGCCAAAGGATGGTTACTCTTCCATGGCACCTGGTCCTAACTTTGTTGCTTTTAAGAGGTCTGGTTTTGTTCTTCGTAATGTAAGTATTGTTTAACTGGACTTTTGAGCACGATTACTGTTCGTTATCCCCCTCCCAACTTTTCATTTTTAACAAATTAAACACGTTTAATTTTCATTTATTTTTTTAAACAAATTAAACCATATTAATAACATCTAGATAATTTTCAGCTGAAATATTATCCTCTACCATTTTGCTTTTATCATATTTAACAGACTTTTCTGTCCTGTTTGGTAGAACATCGTCATACTGCAATGATAATACATTATCTTGAGAAGGACTGTTATCAACATCAGCTTTATTGTGTATTACATCTAAATATGGATTCTCCAGGACGTCTGTATAGTGATGAGGTGTGGGGTTAACCACTGGCTCTAAATACGACTCCTTATCTCTCTCTGGAGAGTCTGAGTCCTTTGATAACTTACTCAACTGATCTTGAGATACAGAAGATATATTAGCAGTGTCTGATATATGTTCATCGTGTTTTTCCTCATTAGTTAAATCTTGTGTTTCACATTTTATAAATAAGTATTCGTTTTTCGTTGTTTCCTTTAATTCGTCATATTTTGTCTGTTGCATCCTGGAGTCTTGGTAACGATTACTTCGGATACTTAAGAGAATAGCGGCGTCCTCTATTTCCTCGTATGTTTCGGGATCATTTTGGTTAGTTGATATTCGTTTTTTCTCCTTCGGTTTACATTTACCATATATCTGAACAACTGTTAGAATTGCTAAAAACGAGGCAATGATAGTGCCAATGATAATTATCACAGAATTATTATTTTTTACATCATTTTCTGATATGCGAACAGTTTGTGTTGATAACTGTCGATCCATTTCCGACTTAATAGTTGTCTCGTGTCCTGTATCAGCTTGTACCATATGTGTCTCTGATGTTTCCTCATTGGAGTTTATAAATGTTGATGTAATTTGTTGAGACGTTGATGTAATTTGTTGTGACGTTGTTATTTTGTTAAATCCGGGAGTCGTTATATCTACAAGTTGTTTTATTTGTATTACATTTCCAAATTACTTACTCATAACATAAATCTAAAAGTTAATATTTAATCTTTATTTTCATCCATTTGTTAGACAGGATTTGTTAATTATGACCTAGGTTTTAAGTTGTTAATAAATAAAGTTACATAATATATAGTTCTTTTACCTCTTGCTTGACAACCATAAACATGGTTGCATTGTTCAGATGGACAGGTACACCTTTGCCCACAGGATTTCCCGTATTCAGGATATTTACATTTAACACTGCAATTATCTCCGAAGTAACCGTCATTGCAAGCTTTGAATTTTCAAAAACATCAATCAAATTATATATTTTAAGCTATTAATGAGATATATTTATAACAAAAAACTACTGGTATCCATTTGAAGGTAAAACTTACGTTTACATTGCTCTTCGATCAAGTAAAAATTATAACAGCAGTTCAAAGTTTGAGACCTAAAAGTTTATGACAAGTATACATGTTAGATACAACATATACTCAATGTTTTTGTAAAGAATATATAAAAACACAAAATACAGTATAAGCATTTAATCTAGACAAACCAACATACATAAAGTTCTATTTACCCTTCAGAGCAATTTCCACTTATTTCTTGTGCATCTGTATAAGTACAATGGATGTAGCTAAAGAACACTAGGACAGAAATACCCGATAGTTTCAGCAGATTTTTCATATCAACAATGAAACAAACACTTTAGCTCATATATACGGAATTACTCGAGTAAAGTGAACCGGAAGAAAAACAAATGTTGCATTTTGTATTTCAGACATGATACCTACATGAACAAAGCTAAGAATTACGGCTATAAAAATTGTTTTAAAAAAAAAATTATAAATGTATTTCTATTTATTTTATTAAAAAAAACCATCCTTAAAATGTTGTATTCTTATTAATTATTGCGCGAGTGTTTTTGATAACGTTGATAGAATAATGCTTCTAAAGGCAAAATACGTGCAAAAATTAGACATCTTACACAAATAATGTCCTTCACACTTGCACTCAAACATGTAGCGAAACATAATACAATTTAACTACTTTAGGAAGTCCATGTGGCTGCATTTCATTTCCGGAATTTTTTGAAAAAAATATACTTTTCATTTCCGACATTTTAAAGTTTTCATCTCTAACATTTTTCAGGACCTGTTAAACATCAGAAGTTGGATCAGGTGCCGTAGTGGAGTAAAAACTAACAATAGAATTCACAATGGGTTTAATTTCGCGGAAAAAAGATAAATCGCAAACATAGCGAAATTTAAACCATCGTGATTATTTGCCAATCTACAGTATGTCAACAGACAACTTTGACGTCATCGTTAGAATTTATTGTTTACCGATCCCGCATTTTTAGCCATTGTACTTATAAATAAAAGTTATCTCGCTTAAACCACTGTAGTTTTATTCAAAGGGCGACAACACAGTTGTAACCCTGCATGCTCGCTTACGCTATTTCATTGTCATCTGAAGGGAGATAACAGTTGTCACCCTACGCGTGAGGGAGACATCACGAGTTGTCTCCCTGCACGTGACCTGCTCTAAACCAATCAGATTGACTGTATAATTCTGAAGGATAATAATATTAATTGTGTTTGTTTTTGTAGTTTTCTTTTTTATCGGAAATGATGCAGATTGACTTAGTAAGCATTGAATATAAACCATATTAGCGAAAGCTTATGTCAAGTCCACCCAGAACATAATACAAAACTTAATTCAATGTAAATAATTTCTATTGAACAGTATATTAAACTTGACAGAAGTCCTTAATACTGAAATATTTTGCTCCGAGGAACATGTCTGCTTCAATTCTTTAGTTTCGGACTGAAAAATCAGTTATGTTGCATAAAAACTTCTCAGGTAGAGTTGGAAACAGTTTTAATGAACCTTGCAACGTAACCAGTAATGAAGGATATGGAGATAATATTCAATATCAAAGTCCATAAAACAATACAAAATGGGAGCAGAGCAAACACGCAAAAACATAAAAGGTGGGATCACGTGCCACGGAGGAGTCAGCATGAGGTATAAATCAGGTTTCTAAATAGGAACTTATGAGTAGATGGATTACATATACAGTGGACCTTCAGATATCCGGACGCCAGATATCCGGATGCTTCAGTATCCGGACGACTTTTCATGGGAACAGAATTTTTAAATGTTATATTGTTTTGTTTAACTGGTAATTCAGATATCTGGACGCTTCACATATCCGGACAAATTACTAGGAACCAAAGCGTCCGGATAAATGAGGGTCCACTGTATATTTTGGATAAGATATGGACATTGTCAGTTGATATTCTATTTCCATTTCTATTTTTTCCCTCTGTGATAACTCTTTACAAGTAAGCAGAGTTGATTTCTTGATAAATCTCCCGGAATGCAAATATTTAGGCAGGTCGATACATGTAGGTGAGGAGCTAAGAAGGTCTAATATGCACGCAAATCTCGTGCGCATCTGTCTCTGTGTCTGAATGCCAAGGAGGCCAAATGTGCATGTAAATCTCTTGCGGCTGCCTTTGTGTTTGATATCTGTGGTCGAGGGAGGACTATTAAAATTGGCATGGGAGTAATATTTAACCAATGTTTTTAAGTTTTGTATGAATTATTGGTGTGTGAATCACACATACTTGTCACGTAGGCATATTTTTCATGAAGCGCGCTATTGCTTCATGAAAATTATGCCTACGTGCAAGTCGGTGTGATTCACACACCAATAATTCAAACTAAACTTAAAAACATTCCTTATATTTACATTTTACATGTTTGGGAGCAACTAAAATATACTCAAAATTTAAATTTCTCGCTGCCCTATATCGTTGCATTTTACTAACGTCGCTGCAGACTCATTGTGACGTCACGTTAACGCACGTTTCTCCATGTATATTTCTACGCGTGAGTATACACGAAAATGGTTTTCAAATCAGTTTCACAGTTGGCTTAGTAGAACAACACAGCGAAATATTGTAATTTTAGTCTATTTCTAGATGTTTAAAATCTAAATCTACAAATTTATTTCACAATGAAATGGAAATATAAGAAATCACTGTCTTGTAAGTATAGTATGCCAGGGATATAAAATGATAGTGGGAAACATGGGATAATTTATGCATAACGGACTTCGCCCGTTATGCAAATTATCCCATGCTTCGCACGATCGTTGATGCCCTGGCAAAGTATACTAACTAGACAGTGATTCCTTAATTCTATGCATAGACAAAATCTATCGATGCATTAGCGTCATTTTAAACTTTAAAATATGCTTACTTAGCTCCCGGCTTCCTAAGGATCATTTTGAGGCGCTGAAATTTTCTTAAATCAAATTGTAAATATTATTATACATCACTCGTAACTTTATTTATCCGTCTGCTCCAAACTAGAATAAATATCGACCAAAAAATCATTTCAACTGAAAAAAGGCATTTTTTGTAAATGACAAAAATAAAACACAGACTTTTTTGCAAATTATCCTTTAATTAAGAATTGCTATAAAATCATCATATGATTCTGCAAGTTTTGGTCTAGACTGGTCTACATTAGAATTTAAATTAAAGCTCAAGTTATGGCAAGAAGACATATTAGCATATATATATTTCCTACAATCTACAATATCTTTTAAAGCATAAACAGCCTGTAAATAAGTATCGTCTTCACATATGTCAATGTAACTGTTGGCTTTCTTTGGGGAACTTGATACGCTTGAGGTGTCCAATGCATGGTGCCATGAGAAGTGACGCTTTAATTTCACCTGGTTGTGCAAAACCTTGTGAGATGTAAATGTCTTATATTTCTCAATATCAGTGTAATATTTACCGATTTCATGATATTTAGAGGAGTCTGATACTGATTTAGATAACTGATCATAACTTGTTCTCGTCATGGTCTCGTCTGGAGTATCAATATCTCCTTCTCTTGAAATATCTGGGGTTTCTTCAATTTCCATGTAAATGTCAACTTCTTGGTTTCTGTGAGTCCTTGCAGCAACATCGTTCGTATCAGGTCCCGATCTTTCTGTCTTGTGATTAAAAAATGATACTTTCTTTCGAGAAATGCAGCAAAAAATTGCAAATGCTACAATCCATATGACTACAACACCCGACGCTATAGAAATGGTAAGCACAATAACCATGTTACTTTCTGTCATCGGAAGTGCCGGTGTATTTTGAGATGTTTTAGTTGACTGATCATTAAGGAATTTCGGGTCTTGTCTTGATGCTGGTGACACGTATATTGGTGTGATGGTTGTACTGTCAGGTAACAAGGTGCTGAAATCACTCTCTGTTAAAAAATTATAACCTAAAATGAACTTTAAAAATAATTTTGAGAAGATGGGACTAATAATTGGTGAAAAAAATCAATAAAACTTTTGAAAATGTTTATGCATTTGAATATTGTAAACAAATACATACATATCCTAAAATTTTCATTTATAAATGTTATTTAATAACCGTTTAGACATCCCTTTACAATGTCACATTCATCAATATCACATTCGCATGTGTAGTAGCAGAGCCAGCCAAACTTCGGTTTTATGCATGCCTTGGAACAATTTTGGCCATAAGAACCCATCGGACACTCTGGTATAAGAAAATGTTATATAAATATAAGAAATCACAATATTGGTGCAAAATAATTCCAAAAGACACCTATAATGAGAAATTTCACCTGTACGAATGCAGATTTCACAAATTTAAATTGAAATTCTATATAATATGTTATTTGGATGGACATCAAGGGTCAGTATCTTTTATTTGATATTTCATCAAATATTTTTCTTTGCATTTGCAAAACGTACGCATTAAAGAATTTTAACTTGGCTAGATAATTATTTATTTTCTGGGGAATTCTCTAACTATTCAACGTTTTTTTTATTTTCAGTAGGGATGTCAAAATTGTCAATAATTGATATTCGAATATTCGATAGGAGTATTCGAATATATTCGAATATTCGATAGAATAAATACATCTTGAATTATAAAATATTTATCTTCACTCTCTTGTCAACCAGTATAGGTTTTACGCCATTATTTTGGAATACAAACTCATGTCGAGTTTGGTAAATGCATAGCAATTATAATTTTTTTAAATGATCAAATATATGATGAGTAAACGTAAAAATCGTATAAAAAAAAAAAAAAAAGAAAAGTGAATTCAAAAGATTCTTTACCATGTTCCAGATTAATTCATCGTCCTACTAAAATCTACACGGATAACGCTAAAAAATTATACCAAGCAGAACAATTATCTAACGGAGAAAAATTAAAAGCAATTACTTTTTGCTAATCAATTTCCTGATAATAGTTTTAATTATATTTACATAAACAAGAGATCCATGTGTTTACTGTAAAACTGTGTCCTACAATACAAGCTGATTGTATGTACTGGACACTATTATACCACTAATTAAGAATATTCGAATATTCGTTGCCATCCCTAATTTTCAATTAACTATAAACATAAAAATATATAAAGAAACGAGCAGAATCTTGGTTTTTTTTGTTGGATATTTATCTAACCATCCACAATATCGAATTACCGGTATTCACCATATTTTAAAGGTATTACC